GCTTGGATCTTGTATGAAAGGGAACAACTCTTGAACACAATTTTCATATCCTGCTACCAGATATCGTAAACAGATGGAAGTATTGCTGCAGGCGTTCCTGGGCTTTTTTTAGACAGATTACTGACAACACAGATTTGTGCCTCACTTTTTGAGCCTGTCTTGTCCTACATTGTCTTTTAAGGAGAATTGGCATCTGATGTGTGGACTCTGAACCCAACCAGCAGCTGTTGGATTCAGCTTTTTCCATTTCCCCTCCAGGTTACTGGACTGATTTCAGATTCCTGGGAAATAAAACCAGAGGCTGTTTGTTTTCTTTGAAAGATTTCTTTAGGGACTCAAGACGGAAGAAAATAGCAAAACCTTTACTTCTAAACATTCCTGTTATTTATGTACAACTTTGTACTTAGTCAGGATCTATTTTGTCGCCCATTTGTGTATCTATTTTGGATCTGTCGCGTTCATCCCTTTGAACTTCGATTTTGTAGCTGTTAGGATTTAAATTAGTTCTGGACGATATGGCTGAAAAAAAGTATAAACACTTCATATCAATCAGTATAGATAATTATTTATTAGTTTTTTGTTAGAAATATTTGAAATACTGCCAAACTCACTCTAAAACCTTCAACTACTGCTGCGGAAGTTACTTAACAGGTCGTTGCTAGGTAACCATAGGACGAGTGAGTTGCTAGGTAACCGTAGAGTGACTGAGAGTGAGATAGTAGATGCCACCAATTTTGAAGAATGCTGTGCTTTGTTGGGTCAGAGTTCAGTGAAATTATTGAACATTCTCAAACAAATATTATCTATTGATATTGATCATGTGTCTATCACAATATATATTGTTATTGGTTTATTGTCTAGTGCTAATTTAATGTACTCATGCTGATTAATATGCACTGTCCCTTATGGAATAAATTCAACTTTACTATGTTGTATTTACCTTTGATTACAAAAACTTAAAATATTCAAGTACTTGCAACTTAAACTCAGTAAGCTTTTTGAACACTTTAAATCTAGCCGTACCTAGTTAAAAATAAATAGTTTTGAAAAGTAAACTTTAATAAAAAATTTGTAAACTTGTTGCCTCAAAAAAAAATTCTATTAATTTAACTACTAACTTGGGTGATTTTTATAAGCACAACTTAAGTGAACCTGATAAATCAAATTATATTTTAATTAAACGACACTAAAAACTTAATTTTTTTGTATGTAGTGCACCTGGAAAGTATTCAGAGTGCTTCACTTTTTCCATATTTTGTTTCTTTGCAACATTTATTCCAAATTGTATTAAAGTAATCTCTGAAAACCAAGACATCAAATTTATTTAACTAAAGGTTTACCAGAGAAATAAAAAAAATCAGCATGGAAATCAAACTGCATCCCTTTTTAGACTTTATATAACAGCATCAAAAATATGAGAAGATTTCTTCCTTTGCAGTGTTTTCTTTCACAAAGTGTGGCTTCCTGTTTTGGATCAAATACTAAACTTTTACTGCAGCGGTGAAATAATCAGTTACATAAATGTCTATCTTATCTTCACGGAGTTTAATACTTTATCACGTCTGCAAGTTACTCATTCTGGTGCAGCGCTGACCGCCTTCTGTCAGCGTGAGAATAAGAAAGCTGTTTGACATGAAGCATGAAGTATAACCGTCGGTTACAGGTGACATGTGAGGAACTACTGTAAAGGTTTTGTGGAGAGTTGATCTAGTGTCGGGAATAAGTTTGAGAGCTTCTGTGAAACAACTTTGAACTTTACGACAGGTTTTAAGAAGAGTAATGAAATCTGAATCCATAAAAAAGAACAACAAGGGTTGAGCTATATAAATTGTTTGCCTTCACCGAACACATAAAGAATAACTATGGAGGTGTTGTTAATTTCCCAATGTCAATCCCAATGTCAGAATTAATTTTAGCATTGTAGAAAGTAGAAGTTTCTGTGTAATAAACTGAACTGAATTTACTTATTATTGGATGAATCAAACTACATTTTCTGGTAAGAAGTTCAAACAATTAACCATTGTTATTGAAAATCAGAAATATCACGCAGATATTTTTGGAGAAATGTATCTGAAAGGATTTGTTCTGAAACTGCTGGGTTTTCGGTTCGAACATCTCAATCGTTGTGTTTTGGCTGTTGGAGACAAAACACCAATTCAATTATATTTTTTAAAATACTGACAAAGTTCTGCGCATATTTACAATGAAAATGCAGTTATTGTTACCAGAATGTCACCAAAGTTCATGTAATTTGTTGCACTACACTCTTCAACCACTAGTCACTAAAACCCACTTAAAACAACATAAAGAATAAAATTAAGGAACCAATTTTTATGAGACACTTAAAAAAAACCTTTGAAATAACTTGATGTCACGCACAGTTTAATTAAAGAAAACATCACCCAGGAATGACACAAGTGGTCTCACACACATCACGAAAGAAATACAAATAGAAATCCAAAAGATGTTTACATTTCTCAACAGTTCACATGCACCAATTACGGACTGGTCTCCCACCTGGCATATCCACTTTCATTACAGTTAAAACTCAGTATTACATGAGCTGCAAACTGTGTTCAGAGGTTTAACACAAACATGACGTAGTAGGGACTGCTAAATGATTAAAACGTGCAAATCTGTTTGGGTTCAAGTATCATCTAGAGGAGAAAATTAAGATCTCAGCGACTGTGTCTGCTGCAGATATTTTTACCAATCAGTTAAGTTGCAATCTGATAGCGTGTGAGCGTGTTTACTCTGACGCTTTGGATTACAGCCGTGGCGAACGATAATAAGATAATGAGGTCTGTCTTTCAGGGACAGATATCAGCTCTGACCGACTGCAGCAGCTTTAAAATGCTCAGAGCTGAAGGAGGTTTTGGTTTGGATGTAACCTTTAGAAAATCCTTTAATCAGCATTGAATTAACACAATTAAATCCATTTAAATCTCTGATTAACACAGACCTTTGTTCATTCATTCATTTGTTCATTCATTTTAAATCTTGCTGGCCTTAGGAGAGTAAAAAAATCACCATGACCTCTGCAAATCTGCAAAGCTTTGTTGTGACCCAAAATATTAGCTTCCCAAACACCCATTAAGCTTGTTGGCTGTAAGAGCAAGTTGACCCATATTTATTGAAAGCTTACCGAGTTCATGCTTGATTACTGACAAAAAGAAAACTAACATATTTTATTATCATTTTAGATTTTAGTAGCTTTTTAACCACATTTCATTTTATTACATTTTTTGCTCAAAATCATTCCTAGATGACGAGATTTTAGTCTGCTCAGTTCTCCCTACTTTGACCTCCTTCCAGCTTGTGCTGTCATAGGGGGTCTTGTCACTTTAAATCCAGGTGGGCTGCTGCTGGCCACGCCCCCAAATTCAACATTTAAACTTCCATGTGAAAATGGCTGCAAACAGATGCATAATTATGCATCCGTTCAACTTTGAAAAGTGGTTTCTGGATGGTTAGTCAACAACTAACACTTCCAGCAGCCATTGTGCAGCGCACACAGCGGTAAAACCACCTGACCAAACGTCCTGGAGCTCAGCTTGGGTTGCTAGGTAACGGGCGGAGCTCTGAGGGGGTTGCTAGGTAACGGGGCTGATTTGTGAAGTTACATTCCAAAGTCCATTGAAACCACACATTTTCCAAACACCAAAAAAACATTAATTTATCATTAAATTAAAACTGGGTGCTTTTTTTTTTTAACCTGTACAAAAATGTGTAAAATGGGATTTGTTACATTGTTGCCTCTTGCCTCTGTCAATGCTTACGTTTTCTTTTTTAACTTCAAATGTGTGAAATACTTTCTGTTTGGTTTGCCAACACAAACCTGACCTACTTCTGTCTTTGGAGCAAATGACGATGATGTTTGTTGTCAAATCGGTGGTGCAGGTCAGAGAAAAGGCATGCAAAAATTTGTCTCCAGTAAAGTACGGTATATCTGTAGAGATCGGCTTCTCTTCAAAATGTCTTTAGGAGTCCAGCATGGTGTCTAAAATTAGATGGAGAGAAAATTAGGAATCCAGGTCAGTAAAGCAGACTGATGGCAGGTTCTCACATGTGGAGCCATAATAGAAAACAACATGCAGCCCAAACAGCTTCCCGATAATTAACTACAATCAGTATTATCAGCTAAAAGATCAGAGCAGACAATCAAAGCTCACAGATTTACGCAGTTTACTGGTGTTTTCTCACTCCCAGTCTCCATCCTCCTGTCATAGTTTGGTGTTGATGTTTTCCTATAAACTCGATTATGTTCAACATAGGAGATGGGAAAGCCGTGTTTTCAAGATGAATTCATGGAGACAAATCGTCTCTAAAACTGTTGTGAGCACCAGGTTTTGAAATCTTTTGAGTTATATGTCCGACTGAATGGGATCTATGGGAAGTGTGGGAAAAAAATCTGTATTTCAAGCATCAACAGAACAAACTATTGGCTTTATGATAATCTGACAAAAACAATGAAAACACAAACTTCAACATTCATTAAAAATGAACTTTTTTGCAGATAAACTGTGTAAATTGGGTTTTAAGGGTGCTATCGTTATTGTTTGTGTTCAACTGAACCTAAAACCATCTGAGTGCTGCCCTCTATGGGTTGAAAGGTGGCTACTGCAGCTGAATTTTCATCAATAAATCATAAAATAGCTTCTATATTTCAGAAAAGTAGTTAAATATAGCGACAAAGCGCTAAGTTAGCTGGCCACACCCCTTATCAACCCCCGCACGTGGCCACGCCCCTTAACGGCTCTTGGCTCCGCCCACTTTGGTGACATTTTTCAACTCTGACCAGCTGAAGAAATAAAATAAGGTGATTTTCATTGTTAGTTGTCCACTACACATTTCTGTTCTCCAGCATGTATTTTGCCTGTAGCAAACTACTGAAAGGACTCAGTTTTTCCTTAAAACATCTATATCTTGTCGCCACGCTTCCACAAAGACCAGATCAAACAAGATCTAAATCTACATCAATGGGGTTCTTGAGCTCAGGGGATTGACATCAGTTTATTTAGATTAGTAGTTCACTGAATTTTAGGATTTATCTGTAAGATAATTAAAGCTCTGTTTTTTCTTTAATTGTATTTGTGATGCGTGCTTCGAATGTGTGAACAGAGGAAAGTAACAGAAGCTGTAATCACTCAGTCAGTGTTTACATAACTGAGTGTCGCTTGATGACAGGATGAATTATGCACCACTGCTCAGTTTAACCTTCCTGGTTATGAGCTAAGAATGCCGCTGACTTTTCCACAGGTTCCACGTGAATAATAAAGGAATACAGGAAAATGGTGCAAAAGGACAAGAGGACAAAAGAATATATTTATGGTAATTCTAAGGAGTAAAATGTGAGTCTGTGGTCCAACCAGAGACTAGAGTCACTGCTAAAGCAAAACCGCATTGCACTGTTGGTTTACATCAGACTGAGCACTAATATTTTAAACAAAAACCACAAAAAAGGTTCAGTTTTATAATCTGAAGTGAGTGCATATCATTTTAAAAAGTATAAATAACTGACTATTTTAATTTGAAAAAAAAAAAAAAAAACTAGCTCAGAATCTGCCTCCAAGTATTAGACACAGGAAATGCATGAACCGTTTTTGGGGCCTGTAGATTACTGTAGATATTGTGTTTTTTATGTTACTGGAGTCCATGTATGTTATCATGAAGAGTCTGCAGGGGACTAAAAGTGAACCAGTTAGAAGAGGATATGTTGCATCTGTCCGAGTTTATTGCTTTAAATGTACAGTTCTTTACATTCTCATTCGTGAATGTTTTTATTCACAGAACCTGTCAAATTTGGCCTGTAAAAAGTTACGTTTTTACTTATTAACTTTTTGTCAGGCTCTGGTGAGAACAGGTAGGTGAAACATTAACACTCATTATTACACAGAGGAAATGTGAGATTGTTTGCTTGTCCCAGAATGTTCTGCTGTGACTCAGTAAATCCATCATCAAGTCAAATCTGGACAGTTGTTCTTCTAAAAATGTCAACATTACTGCATAACAATGCGTTCTGGAAGAGAAAGAATTGGGTTCAATATTTCAAATATATAATTTCAAAGACATTTCATGGAGTTTTCTGGGTTTGCATGTGATGTTTTTAGCATTTTTTGTGAAACAAGCGAAAATGAAATGGCAACATTTTGCCTTTAGCCTTCATTGCAGCTCGTGGGAATCAGTTCAAATGTCGTTTAACAAGAACTTTGTGTCAGACTTGGTGTCAAACCCACTTTACCCACATGTCTGAAAACAACCACTTCCTCAAAGGACTCATCTTGCTACTTCCATTAACGTAATGATTCCTCAAAACGTTTTTGCACACAGTTCCTGTAAATATTTTAACAATTACCTAATTTTGCTTCTGTAAACGAGTTCTCTCTGATTTTTTGGACTCGTCCATTTGGTAAAGAGTTTTACATTGAACTCCCTAGGTTAGAATAGGTAATAATTTTGTTCAAAACAGATTTAATGTGGACGTTATTTTCTTATAGGCTTCATGCTAACCTGGAAAAAAAATTGTCTGTTTTGCTAGCAAAATGGCAATAAATGTTTTTCAATTAAGTGGCAAAAACCAAAAACCTTTTTTATCTGGAGCTTTGTTTTGTTTTGTTTTGTGGCCCAAATAAAGCTGAAGACGCAGTGCAATAAGAAATACTGCCACCTGTAGGTGGGAGTTAGCATGACATAAATGAAATGTTTTTGACCATTTTTGAGGAAAATTTGCAGTAAACTTACAATTAAGCATTATAACAACAACACAAAAGTGTGGGGATCTGATGACTTTCCATGATCGTCTAATTTCAAAATTTTTCATAATACAGATAAAAACTGCTTTGATTGAATAGATACAATCAAATCAAATTTATCTGGCCCTCTGGAGTCCAAAGGGCCACATAAATAGCTCCGTCGGACCGGATTTGGCCCCTGNTATTTATTGAAAGCTTACCGAGTTCATGCTTGATTACTGACAAAAAGAAAACTAACATATTTTATTATCATTTTAGATTTTAGTAGCTTTTTAACCACATTTCATTTTATTACATTTTTTGCTCAAAATCATTCCTAGATGACGAGATTTTAGTCTGCTCAGTTCTCCCTACTTTGACCTCCTTCCAGCTTGTGCTGTCATAGGGGGTCTTGTCACTTTAAATCCAGGTGGGCTGCTGCTGGCCACGCCCCCAAATTCAACATTTAAACTTCCATGTGAAAATGGCTGCAAACAGATGCATAATTATGCATCCGTTCAACTTTGAAAAGTGGTTTCTGGATGGTTAGTCAACAACTAACACTTCCAGCAGCCATTGTGCAGCGCACACAGCGGTAAAACCACCTGACCAAACGTCCTGGAGCTCAGCTTGGGTTGCTAGGTAACGGGCGGAGCTCTGAGGGGGTTGCTAGGTAACGGGGCTGATTTGTGAAGTTACATTCCAAAGTCCATTGAAACCACACATTTTCCAAACACCAAAAAAACATTAATTTATCATTAAATTAAAACTGGGTGCTTTTTTTTTTTAACCTGTACAAAAATGTGTAAAATGGGATTTGTTACATTGTTGCCTCTTGCCTCTGTCAATGCTTACGTTTTCTTTTTTAACTTCAAATGTGTGAAATACTTTCTGTTTGGTTTGCCAACACAAACCTGACCTACTTCTGTCTTTGGAGCAAATGACGATGATGTTTGTTGTCAAATCGGTGGTGCAGGTCAGAGAAAAGGCATGCAAAAATTTGTCTCCAGTAAAGTACGGTATATCTGTAGAGATCGGCTTCTCTTCAAAATGTCTTTAGGAGTCCAGCATGGTGTCTAAAATTAGATGGAGAGAAAATTAGGAATCCAGGTCAGTAAAGCAGACTGATGGCAGGTTCTCACATGTGGAGCCATAATAGAAAACAACATGCAGCCCAAACAGCTTCCCGATAATTAACTACAATCAGTATTATCAGCTAAAAGATCAGAGCAGACAATCAAAGCTCACAGATTTACGCAGTTTACTGGTGTTTTCTCACTCCCAGTCTCCATCCTCCTGTCATAGTTTGGTGTTGATGTTTTCCTATAAACTCGATTATGTTCAACATAGGAGATGGGAAAGCCGTGTTTTCAAGATGAATTCATGGAGACAAATCGTCTCTAAAACTGTTGTGAGCACCAGGTTTTGAAATCTTTTGAGTTATATGTCCGACTGAATGGGATCTATGGGAAGTGTGGGAAAAAAATCTGTATTTCAAGCATCAACAGAACAAACTATTGGCTTTATGATAATCTGACAAAAACAATGAAAACACAAACTTCAACATTCATTAAAAATGAACTTTTTTGCAGATAAACTGTGTAAATTGGGTTTTAAGGGTGCTATCGTTATTGTTTGTGTTCAACTGAACCTAAAACCATCTGAGTGCTGCCCTCTATGGGTTGAAAGGTGGCTACTGCAGCTGAATTTTCATCAATAAATCATAAAATAGCTTCTATATTTCAGAAAAGTAGTTAAATATAGCGACAAAGCGCTAAGTTAGCTGGCCACACCCCTTATCAACCCCCGCACGTGGCCACGCCCCTTAACGGCTCTTGGCTCCGCCCACTTTGGTGACATTTTTCAACTCTGACCAGCTGAAGAAATAAAATAAGGTGATTTTCATTGTTAGTTGTCCACTACACATTTCTGTTCTCCAGCATGTATTTTGCCTGTAGCAAACTACTGAAAGGACTCAGTTTTTCCTTAAAACATCTATATCTTGTCGCCACGCTTCCACAAAGACCAGATCAAACAAGATCTAAATCTACATCAATGGGGTTCTTGAGCTCAGGGGATTGACATCAGTTTATTTAGATTAGTAGTTCACTGAATTTTAGGATTTATCTGTAAGATAATTAAAGCTCTGTTTTTTCTTTAATTGTATTTGTGATGCGTGCTTCGAATGTGTGAACAGAGGAAAGTAACAGAAGCTGTAATCACTCAGTCAGTGTTTACATAACTGAGTGTCGCTTGATGACAGGATGAATTATGCACCACTGCTCAGTTTAACCTTCCTGGTTATGAGCTAAGAATGCCGCTGACTTTTCCACAGGTTCCACGTGAATAATAAAGGAATACAGGAAAATGGTGCAAAAGGACAAGAGGACAAAAGAATATATTTATGGTAATTCTAAGGAGTAAAATGTGAGTCTGTGGTCCAACCAGAGACTAGAGTCACTGCTAAAGCAAAACCGCATTGCACTGTTGGTTTACATCAGACTGAGCACTAATATTTTAAACAAAAACCACAAAAAAGGTTCAGTTTTATAATCTGAAGTGAGTGCATATCATTTTAAAAAGTATAAATAACTGACTATTTTAATTTGAAAAAAAAAAAAAAAAACTAGCTCAGAATCTGCCTCCAAGTATTAGACACAGGAAATGCATGAACCGTTTTTGGGGCCTGTAGATTACTGTAGATATTGTGTTTTTTATGTTACTGGAGTCCATGTATGTTATCATGAAGAGTCTGCAGGGGACTAAAAGTGAACCAGTTAGAAGAGGATATGTTGCATCTGTCCGAGTTTATTGCTTTAAATGTACAGTTCTTTACATTCTCATTCGTGAATGTTTTTATTCACAGAACCTGTCAAATTTGGCCTGTAAAAAGTTACGTTTTTACTTATTAACTTTTTGTCAGGCTCTGGTGAGAACAGGTAGGTGAAACATTAACACTCATTATTACACAGAGGAAATGTGAGATTGTTTGCTTGTCCCAGAATGTTCTGCTGTGACTCAGTAAATCCATCATCAAGTCAAATCTGGACAGTTGTTCTTCTAAAAATGTCAACATTACTGCATAACAATGCGTTCTGGAAGAGAAAGAATTGGGTTCAATATTTCAAATATATAATTTCAAAGACATTTCATGGAGTTTTCTGGGTTTGCATGTGATGTTTTTAGCATTTTTTGTGAAACAAGCGAAAATGAAATGGCAACATTTTGCCTTTAGCCTTCATTGCAGCTCGTGGGAATCAGTTCAAATGTCGTTTAACAA